TTTCGATTCGTGACTCTCCTCTACCTTATGGGTTCGCTCTCTCGTTGTGCTCTCATTCAGCACACTCTCCGAGCCTACCACGGTCAAGGCAGCAGATAAGTGTATAACCTCTTATTTTTATCAAGTTTCATATCTCATTTGTGTAAAAATATAACTCTGCTCCAGGCACACTTGCCATCTCGAGTCGTTTTACCTTGATTCAGTTCGTTAGTGTTTGCACGTTAGGCAGAGTACAGCTAAGGTCAGAAAGCGATGAGTAAGTTTTGTAGGGGTGATTGTTTTAGGTCTACATTAAGCTAAGTCTTACACCTACAAATTATGTGATAAAATATGAAAATAAGAACAAATTAGTTCAGCGAAGAGTCTCTTTTCGGCGAATTCATTCACTTAGCTGTACAGTCTCAAATATATACAATTAATTTTGTGTGTGTGTGTGTACATTAGGTTTGTCAAAATCAAAATCCAAATAACAGTTAGTGTGGGTTGTTGATTACATCATCAAAATAATAAAGAAATTAAAATGTGTGATTAATAATTAAAGTTTGTAACTAAGTGGGTTGAAGATTTATCCGAACTCGAAATCCCTCAAGCGTCATATCCTGAACCATATTGATTCCATTATATCACGTGTGCCAGAACTCGAGAGAAACATAGCACAACGATCCTCTATATTATTATATATTATTCCTACTCACTCTTCTGTCTTGTGCTGTACTTTTCACTTGCGTCCATGTTATTCCATACTGTTTCATCTCCTCCTCACAACGATCCTCTGCGTTACACGAATTGTCTTGTGATGAACGACAAGCATTTACCGACTATGTCACTCTGGTTACGGAGAAGCGTACACAAGCCATCCATTCTAACTTATTGAAAAGTCTCAAAGCTACAGAAACACGACGCAAGTTTCCAGAAGATCCCACCAAATTTGTGTTCAATTATTCTTCAGTAACGTTATCGCCCATACAGTTGGAGGCCTTGTCTCTCGGGCCAAGATTTCGCGACATGAACTCAAACATAAGCAAGCTCAATACTTATGTCGAGTTTGAAAATTTGATCAATCAGACTACTGATCTTGTCCTAGCTTCCGAAGAAGAATTCAAACATTTTAAGTCTACTATTCTAGACTCCTGTCAACAGTGTCTCAATACAAAGTCCAAGTTCAACAATCTTTCAACCAAAGAGCATAGAGAACAACTCAACCAACTGAGGCAGAACAAAGAATTGCTTATCACACGCCCTGACAAAGGTACAGGCATAGTCCTAATGGATAGAAAAGATTATATTAATAAAATGGTGGCGATTCTCTCAGACAACAATAAGTTCTCAGTACTCGAAAAAGAGAAAGACAAAGCCGAAGCAACGGAAAAACAGCTAACTGAGATCTTGAGAAAGCTAAAAACTGATCAAGTTATCTCTGAAAAATGTCTTCGAGAGCATTCGATCCACAGGTTCAATAATACCCCGACTATACGGATTGCCAAAAACTCATAAACAGGGTCTTCCACTGCGCCCTATTTTGGACATGTCGGGATCTCCGTATCATCCAATAGCGAAATGGCTAGCAGAACTCCTACAACCTGTTAGAGAACGAATTTCAAAACATTCTCTTCGAGATACTTTTGAATTCATCGACTGTATCAAAGATGTTAAAGTGGGAGACAAACGTATGATTTCACTCGACGTCGAGTGTCTCTTTACAAACATCCCTATCACTGAGACGATTTGTTTTCTATGTAAATACTTGGAAGATAACAACCTGAATATTGGAATACCTACCACCAAGCTAAAAGAACTCCTACTCAGATGTACCCTAAATGTTCAGTTCACATTCAATGGGAACTTCTATAGACAACAAGATGGCGTGGCGACTGGATCACCTTTGGGTCCGGTGCTGGCTGATATTTTCATGGCAATTTGGGAAAACGGTCCGCTGAAAGCAACCATCGACAAATTCTTCTTATACAAAAGGTATGTTGATGATACGTTCGTCATCTGCGATAACAATTGTGATCAAAATATTGTTCTTCAAGTTTTCAATAGTTGCCACCCCACCATCAAATTTACAATCGAAGTAGAAACCAAAGAGACAATCTCCTTTCTGGACGTTCGTTTAAGTAAGAAGACCGATGGTACCTTAAACAGATCAGTACACAGAAAACCTACATGGAATGGTCAGTTGACAAACTTCTACAGTTGGATACCAATTAGTCGCAAGCGAAATTTGATAATATCTCTGGCGACTAGAATCCGAAAAATCTGCAGTCCTAAATCAATAGAGGAAGAGATCGCCCTCTTAAGGAAGACACTGCTCGAGAATGGCTACCCACCCCGTTTTATAGACAAGCATATTAAGCCTAAGACTTACAAAGAACAACCCATTACAGTGCAGAAGAAGATGGTCTACATGAATGTACCCTTCAAAGGTGACCTTCTGGCTGACACCTTGAAAAAGAGGATATCTACTACTCTCAGAAGGACATTCTTCGCTGCCACACTACGACTGACATTTTCCTCCCGGCCATTGTTCTTCAACTGCTCTAAAGATAAAATATCGCATTTGACCACTTCCATGTGTATCTACCAATTCACCTGCTCTTGCGGAGCGAGGTATATAGGTCGTTCGATGCGAGTTTTATCTAAAAGAGTTCAAGAACACTATCCCGCCTGGCTACGGAAAGGTAACAACGGGGCAATAAGGAGCGCCATTATTGAGCATATACTCAACACTGGTCATTCGATTTGCAAGGAGAAGTCGTTCAAAGTCATCTAAGAAGTCAAAAAAAGCCTTCCAAAATCGACAAGCTTCCGTATACTTTGTATTGCCGAAGCCTTAGCGATTTGGATAGAAAAGCCTGATTTATGCACACAGAAGAAACTTCTCCACCCCCTCCTACTACCGTGGGTTTAACTTCAAGTTTATCGGTCATCAACATTTTGTTATCAAATTTTTTTGCAATTTTCGTATAATAATTTTAGTAACTAACCCATTCAATCTTTTCACCTTTTATCTAGTTTATTTTCATAATTGTCTCCATACTCCTTCACTAGCATCTAATCTTTCCAAACATGTCTATATTACGTAACCCTAGTCACATCTTACCAATCTTCACCCCACTTGGTTACAACTTTGATTATTAGTCACACATTTTAATTTCTTTATTATTTTGATGATGTAATCAACAACCCACACTAACTGTTATTTTGATTTTGACAAACCTAATGTACACACACACACACAAAATTAATTGTATATATTTGAGACTGTACAGCTAAGTGAATGAATTCGCCGAAAAGAGACTCTTCGCTGAACTAATTGTTCTTATTTCAATGTCTTAATGGGTATATTTTGCGAATTGAAAATGAATTTGGCCAATTTTTCACATGAGTCCATGTGCCTGTCGACCAGAATATTAACAAGCTGGTTAAGTGGCACTTTACTTACCCTGCTGACAACCTTTAACATCCTGCGTAATATGTTATAGTCTTTCTTCAGTAGCCCGGGAAAAACTAAGGGGGAACAATAGAGAATAATAGGCAGAATGCGAGAATTAACGAATTGTAGGAGTGAGGATTGGGTTATGCCAGAATGTTTTAACTTCTTAATGTAGAAGGTAAGACGGAATATTTTCTTAAAAAATCGCTATGATATGAGACGACCAGGAGAGATCAGCAGATAGAATGACGCCTAGGTATTTAATTTTCGATTTGGTTTCTATTTCAATGCCGTCTATGTTGCATACTTCGTGAGAGCCAACCAGTTTGTTTAGGTGAAATTGACTGTTTGGCATTTGGAGGGGTTTAGGGCAAGACCGTTTTCCTTGCACCACTGGCTGATTTCTGACAGAAAGCCATTAAGTTTAGAGCAGTCGCTTTGATATTTGACAGGCAAAGATACAGTCAGGTCGTCAGCATATTTGACAAAATTAATGTCATTTGAAGATGGTAAGTCATGTAGAAAGAAAGAAAAGAGAAGTGGGGAGTGTACATCACCTTGGGGGACTCCGGCTTCAGTGAGTATAGCAGAGGATGATTTACCTTTGTATACGGTGTACTGCTTTCTGCTAGAGAAGTAGGAATGCAGCCAGTTAGTTACACCGATTGAGATGGTTAGGACATGTGTTACTCATGCATGAGGCCTAGCTATCTCCTTCTTCGATGGGTAGTGTTAACTGATATAGGATGGAACAGGTTGGAAAAGAACTGCTAGTGGTGGTCAAATCAAAACATGGCCCCATCAGTCAATGAAGAAATCCACAACAGTTAGTTTTAGTCAGTCACGTAAGAAGGTGTAGACTTCCTGACTGTTTGGGGTCCTCTGGAGGGTAGAAACCAATGAAGGCTGGAGACAATATGTGATATGGCTCAAAATCATTCTGAATGTATTGCGTAGGTGCATCCACTTCGTATGATTTTTAATATCCAATAAAATTATATTGTCGTTCGATATTACTATTCTTTTTGCCTCATATCTCAGTTTACTGTCTCTATTTTGCATTTCTTTTCACTTTTTTGTCTTGTTTTGTATGCCACATGGAGTGTGGTGACTCAAACTGCTGTGCATCGATGCAAAGTTCCATGTTGAAACCAGTCAGTCAGACGCTGCAATGATAACTGAAATAGGATTAAACCGGAAAGAAAGCTGAATGTAGTAGTCACAAATGTGTGCATAATCTTGAACAATATGGTAAATTATAGAGTCTCCTTAGGACATAAGTATTTGAAGACCGATTTTGGTGACACAGATTTCTTCATATGAAGATGTAAAATAACCTAATTGTAGTTTATGAAGGATTGAACTCATGATTAGTAGTAGTAGGTGTTAATTTGCACCTCAGAGAAGCGTTTTTATGGTTATATTGTTTCATCGACACAATGTTTTTATCATTTTATTTTCTCATATATATATATATATATATATATATATATATATAACATCTACATTTATGAATACATATATATGAATGTGCAAACCTTTTTTCGTGTGCCTCTTTCTCCAGGTCTACTATAACCGTGGTATATTTCGGAGCTGGGGTGTTTTAGGTGTAACTGAAATTCCATTGACTGGACTTGTTCAATCGGCTACGGTAACCCACATTGGTGATCTAAAAGAAGGTCGTAAAGTTGTAGGAGGTCGTCTAGAAGTACAATTGCGACAACGTGAATCACTGAGTGTATGTTTCTGTCATTAGTATTTGTAGTTCTGAATAGACACTTTATTATATAATCAATTCGTGTTTATAAATATATTGAATGCTAGAAATGTGTAATGTCACAAAATCTCAAAGACCTAAAGGTGAAAAATAACAAACTGACAGAAGAAACAGCAGACACGACTTCAAATGAATATTGAGAAGACAAAGGTGATTAAGATACCATAATCAGTCACCATCAACGGGAGAAATCCAGAGGAAGGAAGTCACACGTCTTTCACTTACCTAGGCAGCACTTTATCAGCTACAGGCATGCCTGACCTTCACTAGTCCGAAATCAGTTTGGAAATCTACCCTAGATTCAGAATTTTAACACTTATGTCATGTCAGTCAGAGTTTAAGAGACGACTTCGCATGTCTGTCACCGAGTGCATTTCCAACAGACCAACTGCAGACTTTCATCAACGTAGACATTGAAATCCAGTTAACAAAGAATTGTGGCGACAAATCAACTAAGAACTTATTTCGCAACAAATAGGCAGAAGGAAACAAAGATGAGCTGAACATATTCTAATGAATTGGAATGAGAAACTATTATGCAAACGGCCAAGATTAACTTGGAGAAGATCATGTAAAGAGAAAATAAGAGCATATGGGCAAAAGTGGAGCCAGTGAAAAAAATTGCCAAGAAACAGGGTGAATTGGTGATGTGCCGCCGAAGTCCAATGCTCCACTCGGGACCCAAGGAAATACAAAGTGTTATTCTCTACTGCGTCATTTCGCAGTAGATTTAGAGTACGGAGAGGATGTTGATTATTTTGGCGTTACAATAGTTGTCATGCAAACCCTTATTAAGTTTCCCTCGTATTTCGCAAAATATTTCGAATGATTTTTCTTCATAATCCTTCTTTCATAACTCTTTACCAAGTGTTTCCAGTTTCAACACATACCCTAGTTTTTTTTAATGATAAACGATGAGGTTTATTAAATTATGAATTATATGAGCATGAAACTTGGGACTCGTTACTTTGATAGTTCACTTTGTAGGTTAGTTAAGCCACAAAGTAGAAATATTGAGATGCTTAAGGTTTAATGGAAGCAGTGTGCAATATAGCTTGTTGCAACGTAATGATACGTAAAGATTATAGGAATTTGAGGATGTGAATGAACAAATGTATCTTTAATTCAATTTTAGATTTTGCCGTCGATTGATTTGATTGAAATGCTGGTACATTCATACGACGAGTCCCAAATAGGACGAAATGCGCGTCCTGGATCCCACTATTAGTCACCATCCACCAATGAAAAAATTTATTATTTCATAAAATGGAATACTTGGCAATAGCTGTTTCTAACTAAACTAAACTGACTACAAGAGAAAGTTCCCTAGAGTGTTCTAGTGAGAAGTTATGACCAGCGGGATCTATACCAGGTTGGGTTTAAGAACAAATACTCGGTGACTACATTAAGTCGGCGGTGACGCTCTGTAGGTAACAAATTCGCAGAAGTTAGAATTCATGGACCCTGAAAACATGCACCTGGGAAACCGTATCCATTCCTTCCTTGTATTCTAGAGTTTTTAAGATCTTCTATATATATATATATATATATATATATATATATATATATATATATATATATGTATATATATATCCCGACCGAAAGCTGCTACCTTGACGTGGTGGTCGGGCTTGAACACTGCAATGACCCAACAAGCTATACTGGCTGAGATTTATGTCGCTTGAGGTCCTACCATGCCAGAAAGGTTGTTTGGATAGCGGTTAGACAAAAAGGAGTTACCTAACCCAATGCTATGACTCAAAGTAAATCACAAAATATCATGCCGGATCGGTCGGGGCCCGGATTAACAACGACCGCGCTTCCTGCTGCCGTGTCACAGGGCAGAAGTGATAAATATGCTACTGAGACACACCAAATGAAAAAGAACAAGCAAAAACAGGCCGCGTGTGACCGGCCTCAAGCAGTTGTCCCCTGGTCTCTGCGGTCACGCAACCAACTTCCACGGTGTGGACAGCCGGGAAGTAACAATCGCCCTCACTATCCGAAGTGCAATCTCTAAAAATATGGTTGACATAGAACTGAGGAAGAAATTGCTTATTTGATCAGTAGACCTGAATAAAAATACCTGAAGTAGTAATGAAGTTCAATCGGACAGCATTCCTCAAAAACAGTGTGTAGTCGCTAATCGAATATAAGTAAGTTGATTAGATGAATGAAAGAATTCATTTTCATTCTGCCGCTGTTCTGTTTATCACCACTAAAACACAAACTTGGAACATTTTGGGCATCGTACAAAGTCCCATAGTTTGTGGGAGTGTTTGGATACTGCCAGGACGCGTAGGCCGAATCAGGTTAGTCTGTAGGGGCCACCCCGCCAGTTGTTGATTTGAAGTCTGATTCACAAGGCAAACAGTGAAGTAGCGTCAGGAGATACGTTCCCATGGTTTCCGATGACCAAAACAGATTCATACACCATTTGATCCTTTATGAATTCTGGAACCCATGTACACACCGTAGCGCTTGTCAGCTTCCCTAGGTTGTGAACTTGCATGTCCATAAGTCCAATTGTGAACGCTGAACTTTTCGCATTCATTCTTTCCCTTTTGTGGGGAACATCCCCCACCTAATAAGGCCTAGTGAATAAGACTTGCCTTCAAGTGAGATATCCATCTGTGTACCTATATATATTAAATTTGCTGAGTATCCTTCACATTTTGGTGTTACACTGTGCATATATATATATATATATTTTCATCAATTCTAGGGGGAAGCTGTCATCTATGAAGAAAGACCTTGGCTTTTACTGTCTGTGCCAAAACAACAAAATGATTCACCGAAAACTATGAAAGCTGTAAGTGAACAGCGTAATTCTCCTGCATCATCGTCTTCCTCAGCATCTCCGCGAACTATTGTCATAAAGAGATCAAATAATTCCTAGTGATTTAACGCCTACAGACAGTTGATTGCAGGTGATAGATTCAAACAGACGGACATAATTTTCGCCTTATATTATTTCAAAGCAATACACATATATCATATTACTTGTCTACTAATGTAAATTGATATATACCAGATGACATACATGTTTATATCAGGATAAATACAAACACTGTAAAGTGAAAAGAAAAATCCAATGAATTGAATTGGATGTAATAACAATTTTTCTTATTTTGAATTTGTTATCTCATATGTTTGCCGAGAAATAAAATTTTTTCTTCGTGTGATATCGAGAATTTGCTATAACTTTGAATGATGAATGAATATTTATTGATTTCCAAGACCCATTTTCTTTTGTTTCTCTACTACATCATTTGATTAATACACGGTGGTGATAGTTGTTGTTGTTGTTTATATTTTTGAATCAGCTTACTGCGTTAAACGTTAATCGGATAAGAGGAAAGTCTCTTTCCTAATTGTCTGTGTCTGGTGCCAAGGTCATATATATATGTATCATTTTGAAGTAAGTACATCTGGTCTGATACAACTCAGAGAGAACTGGATGGCTATTTTGCCTTGTTCAGAGACCACTTCATCAGACCGTACCAATGACTCTGCCACCCGGAATCGAACTCAGAAACTTTAAGTTACAAGGAAAGCTAGTTGACCTGTATCGCCTGTGAGTTGAACTTAAGTTCCCTAATAACAGTTCTCTTAACACATGCATTTCATAACAATAAAGTTTAAGGGAGCTTATCTACAAATCATATTCAATAATTTGACTGTTGAATGCATAACAATGCATTTGTCGTCTGATTGAGTTTCAGCGTAGTGCTTTGCACAAAAGTGCAGAAGTTCAACTCATCATACAGCACACAAAGGTAGAGGAAAAATTCAGAAGCACCATCTATAATGAGCAGAAATGTATAGGAGGAAAAATAATCTTATGGAAATCTGGATTCAGGAGAGTAAATGCATCTCACCCATTCATGACAATTTTGAACCATATCCATCAACATTTTCAACCCATTTGTCCTTAGCGTCTCAAGAACCTCAACTAGATAGTCTACACCTCCCTACATGGGTGGCTGGCTTAAACCAGCAGTTAAAAGCTTCACATCTGGATTTCACGTTTTGTTGTGCCCACCCTTAATTATTTTCCAACTTATTCCTATATCTGCAGGATGAAAGGAGCTAATCTTTTTACTTCATGGCTTTCCCTCAGTTGCTAACAACTTCAAAAGGTATAGCTGTAGGAGCAAATATACCACTTGTAATCCTATGTCAGATAACAATTGCTCGATGAGGAATGCACTGGTTTGAAATGCTTCACAACTTCGTTTATAGGCTTTCCCTTCTCACCTAACAATCTGCACCTATGACAGATTTGTCTTCAGTTATTACAGTTAGGTACTGCTGTCTTGAGATCACATCTACAATGTAATCTAGTCCCCTTCAAATTTCATATCTTCATGTGAAAGCCCGACAAATTTGATTAGCATCTTAGATCACTACGCTTAAGATTGCACTGAGATATTTTTTATTATACTTATGCACCTTCGAGTATTTCGCGCATGTATTGTCTGATTCTTAGGTAATTTAATAGCCTTTGACGATTATTATTGTTCAGAAATGATTATCATGTCAGTTAGAGAACCATTGAAAACCAGGGAGTACTGGACAGCTGCTGTTTCATCCTAGTTTGGGAATCACCGGCAGTACGCACCCACTGGGATTCGAACCCAGGACCTTCCGGTTACAAGGCAAGCTCGTATACCATTCAGCCACTGGGACCCGATTCAATGGCTCATGAATTCTAACTTCTACCGATTCGTGATTTTAGGGCGACCCCAACTATTGTCGTTGGTGGGACATCCATCCACACACGTGACTTCTAATTGGACCTCACTGGTCACGACTTCTCACTAGAACTCCAGGAAGCTCCAACCTGTAGCAAGTCACTAGCGAGCATCAGAATAATTTTCTATAGTTTTGGTTTGTAAGGATGATTCCCAAACTAGGATGAAACAGCAGCTGTCCAGTACTCCCTGGTTTTCAATGGTTCTCTAACTGATATCAGTCTGTGATCAACTCGTAAAACATAACTAATCCTTACAAACCAAAACTATAGAAAATTATCATGTCAACTGTCAGCTCTTGGAAGCGATAATATTATTATTCATAAGAGTAAGAGATTCAGAATATCCATAAAGTATGTATTAAAGTTGTGCGTTGATTGTTCAGTGGCAGAACACTCGTCAACTACGCACATGTTCCGGGGTTTGATTACCGACTGACGCACTCCTAAACTCCACCTAGACTATAGTAAGACCGGTAAAGAGGGAAGGTTAGGCATACGGCTAGCAACCACACCCTGCAAAAGATCAACTTCGCTACTGAAATGGATGTGGTGAAGAATGTGCGCTTGAAACCTGACTGAAGCACTTGGGATGAATGCAGCTGATTCATTAATGCCCGACCGAAAGCTGCTACCTTGACGTGGTGGTCGGGCTTGAACACTGCAATGACCCAACAAGCTATACTGGCTGGAACTTATGTTCCTGCAGGTCCTACCATGCCAGAAAGGTTGTTTGGATAGCAGTTACACTAAAAGCAGTTACCCAATCCAATCCTATGATTTCAAATAAATCACAAAATATCATGCCGGATCGGTCGGGGCCCGGATTAACAACGACCGCGCTTTCTGCTGCCGTGTCACAGGGCAGAAGTGATAAATACGCTACTGAGACACACCAAATGAAAAAGAACAAGCAAAAACAGGCCGCGTGTGACCGGCCTCAAGCAGTTGTCCCCTGGTCTCTGCGGTCATGCAACCAACTTCCACGGTGTGGGCAGCCTGGAAGTAACAATCGCCCTCACAATCCGAAGTGCACGCGAAACCCCTCTATTCCTCGTTCATCTTTGTCTTCATCTTCATCTCTATTATCTTGCCTTCCTTCTACCAATGCAACTCCTCTACTTGTTGGCTCTTCACTTCCCCTTCACTCTGTGTGCACTGATAACGATGGAAGCCAAAAAGCCACCACCGATTGTCTCCTAAAACCACGCCACCAATTTTATATAGGAGCATTTAATGTTAGGACACTTTGCCAAATAGGACAACAAGCATCACTAGCCAAGACTCTGGCATCCCGAGCCATCGATGTATGTTGTGTTTCAGAAACACGCATACAAGACCCAAGTGTGGTTATTCTCCTAACCCCACCTGGCCAACAGGATGAATCTGCAAAATTCACCTTGAGGGTGTCAGGAGATGCGACGGCTAGCTCACGAGGATTAGCTGGTGTTGGGATAGCTTTAAGTACTAGGGCAGAAAAGACATTACTTGACTGGATCCCGGTAGATAGCCGAATGTGCGCTGTCCGCCTGAACGGATCAGTGAAAAGGAGAAAGGACTGCACTACTCGCCGATGCCTTTTCGTAATCTCCGCCTACGCCCCCACTGACTGCAGTTCGGATGAAACGAAGGATGAGTTCTACCAAAAGCTGTCTAGTTTGCTGCGAAAGGCTAGACGCTCAGATATAGTCGTTTTAGCTGGTGACTTTAATGCTCAAGTAGGGAAATTGTGTCAATCTGAGAAGAATGTTGGTGGCACATACGGAATTCCGTGCCAGCGAACCGACAACGGTGACCGGCTCCTACAGTTCTGTTCAGATAATCATTTGTATCTTGTAAGCACTAACTTCAAACACAAGGAGAGACACTGTTTGACCTGGCGACCACCATCATCAAATCAACGCTGGACACAAATAGACCACATAGCTATAAGCTATCGTTGGCGTGGGTCGGTAGGAGATTGTCGCTCCTTCTGGAACACGTGTGTAGATACCGATCACGCACTGGTCCGCGCTCGTGTGTGCTTACGACTGAACGGACGTAGGAAACAGCTGGCGGTAAAACCATCACGTCCCCAGCTCGATCAGCAAACTAAGTCCCTATTTGAGGAAGAACTAGCTAAACACATATCTGAGTTTGACAGCTGCGCTCACCCTGAAGAAGCCTGGAAGAATATTCAGTCAGCCATAGATACAGCTGTAAAAGCTGTGAATAAGGTAAATCCAAAGGTGAGTAAAACCCATTGGATTTCGACTGCCTCATCCGAACTGATAGATGCTAGAAGACTTATTCCGGCGAGCTCCGAATTCAATGAGGAGCGAAAGCTGCACAAGAGGAAACTTACGAAAAGTCTCCGCAAGGACCGTGAACAGTGGTGGTTGACAAAGGCGAAAGAGATGGAAAAAGCATCGGCGATAGGCAACACTAGGCAACTCTTTAGACTCATCAGGGAAACAGGTGGTAAAAAACAAATGATAAGCGAAACAATCTCCGAGAAAAATGGCACCATAATTAGCTCCCAGGATAGACGTCTGGAGCGCTGGAAAGAACACTATGAGGAGCAGTTTAATTGGCCCACAGCCACACTTAACCTACCGGACATCCAACACCTCCCTGAATGGGAGATAGACACAGGTCCTCCGTCCTTAACCGAGGTTACTAAAGCTGTCACCAATCTGAAGCTAGGCAAAGCAGCGGGACCTGATTTATTGACTCCAGAGGTATTTAAGTACGGAGGCGACAGTTTACTGTCTGCGTTAACGGAGGTTCTAGGCAGCGTCTGGGAATCAGAGGAAGTCCCATCGGGTTGGTGTAAGTCACTGATCATCCCGATATACAAGAAGGGGGACAAGTCGTCTTGTGATAATCACAGAGGGATTAGCTTGACTAATATAGTATCTAAAATCCTAGGCTCAATAATACTGCGTAGATTAAGTGGTGCTCGGGAGACACAAACACGAGAAAACCAGGCAGGCTTTAGACCATGAAGAGGGTGTATTGATCATATCTTCACCCTTCGACAGATTCTAGAACATAGGCATTCCTACCGGCGTCCAACAATCCTTATATTTCTTGACCTAAAGGTGGCATTCGATTCTGTCGACCGACAGGTACTCTGGCGATGCTTGGCTGTAAAGGGAATG